TCCTGCGCACCGTGCGGGACTTCCCGGCCGAGGAGCGCGCGCGCCTTGCTGGACCGCCGGGCTGCGGCCGCGTCGAGGGCGGTGGCACATCGCTGCACGTGGCCTGCGAACTGGCGCGGCCCGAGTGCCTCTTCCTGCTGCTCGGCCACGGAGCCTCGCCCGGCCTGCGTGATGGCGGGGGGCCTCACGCCACTCGAGCTGCTGCTGCGCCACCTGGGCCTCGACTCCGGGGCCACCCCTGCCACCGGGGCGCCCGCTGTGCCCGGGGAGGCACCCGCTGCGCCCGGGGAGGCGCGCCAGCGCCGCCTGCTGCTGCTGGACCTGCTGGTGCTGTACACGCCCGCGGCCGCCCGCCTGGCCCGCTGCGAGCTGCTGGGCGACCGGCCGCGCTGGCAGCGGCTGCTGGGCGAAGACAAGTTCCAGTGGCTGGCGGGCCTGGCGCCGCCCTCGCTCTTCGTGCGCGCCATGCAGGTGCTGGTCACCGCCATCTCGCCCAGCCGCTTCCCCGAGGCCCTGGATGAGCTGCCGCTGCCGCCCTTCCTGCAGCCGCTGGACCTCACGGGCAAGGGCTAGCCCCGGGCGCCCTGGGACTGGACATGGGAGAGCACTATTTTCGGAGGTTGTACTGGCACTTTACATACACTGACCGCTATACGTTAGACTCTGCCTCGTCTGTCCCATCATGGGGCTGGGAGGGTGGGCAGCTGGGCTCCAAGCCGCAGGTTTTCTGAGTCTGGCTGGGCTCAGTGCATGACCTCCCTGCGCAGTGCGGGGTTGAGGGATCACGTGGCTCCCAAGGGCAGGCCTTGACCTCAGCTCACTGCCCAGCCTGAGGAAGGTGAGGGCCAACCTTCCACCCTCCTCTCGATTCTAGAACCTCCTGGAAGGTTATCCCTCTGGGAGTGACCATTAAGCTGAGCCGGGCTGTGGACTGACAGCAGGGGGCTGGGTCTGGAGGGCGAGGAGGCCAGGAAGGCTGCGGTGCTACAGGGGGAGGTGCGCCCCAAGCTGGTCCTCCCTATCCCACCCTGGGTGTCACTGTGACTTCCCCACCAAACCTGGCCTCCCCAGGCCTGGCCTCGTGCTGTCACCCCCTTTTTTCTCCCTGAGGATGAGCAGGCACCCAGCCTGGGCTCCTGGCCCAGCTCCACCCTTCAGGTGGGTTGGCTGTGCCTTGGCCCGCCCTCAGTCCCCCAAGGTGGGCCTCCCAGGGGGTGTTAGGTGGTGCCCAGGGTGGTGTGGCTGCATCGCCCAGTGGCAAGCCTGCGTGTCCAGCCAGTAGAGCTGGTTTCCGCAGGCAGATTCTCAAGGTGCAGACTGGCCAGCAGATCTGTCACAGCCCTTCAGGGAAAGGGGCCCTGGCCGAAAAGCGGGGTCCATGCCCAGGAGCCTTGGACCAGGAGTACAGCCAGGCTGCAGGGCCCAGGAATTCTGGGCCGTGAAATTCAACCCGGGGGTGGCAGCCACGGTGTCCTGCCAGGAGCTAAGGGCTAAAGGTGTGCGTGACGCAGTCACCAGCCTGGCGGGGCACCCACTGCCCACCCTGCCCCAGCGTCCCTGAGGGGGGCATGCCTGGGGGCCGAAGAGGCTTTGGTGGCGATAGGACGGGATACAGAAGGGGCCTGGGTGCAGGAAAGTCTTGCTTGGGGGGCCTGGTTCTGGCCTGCACCTGCCACTCACTCTCAGGGTGACCTGGGACAAACCCCTGTACCCCGGGCTTGTGTCCCCATGTTTTCAAAGTGTTTTGGACCATCTCCAAGCTCTGTGTGCCCCGAAAAGGATGTGACCCCAGTTCTGGGACGTGTGGGGTGGGGGTGCACAGGCCTGGTGGGGAGGAGGGGGTAAGGGTGTGCAGCCAGTGGCTGATCCTGGGCTCCGGGTGGGAGGGCCCTCCCCCCATGTGTCCTGGGCCAGTTGGGTAGCTTCTCTGAACCTTGACACGGGGCGGGGAGGGGGGGGGTTGGATACTCACCTTTCCCAGCTCACAACGGCCTCAGGAGCCCCTGGTCCCTCTACAAGGCCCCAGTCCTCACACGGGCGCCGCGGTGGGGGAGGGGGCATTTCCTGAGGGGAGACGGGACGGGGAGCCAAGTGTCTAGAACAGGTCATGGTGGCTCTGCGGGTGAGGGGGTAAGGGGCTTGGAGCCCTGATGCTGGGCACCTGGTGGGGGACCTGGGCCTGCAGACTTCCTCTGTTTTCCCAGCGCCAGCTCTGGCCTCTGTGGGGCTGGTCCAAGGCCCAGGCAGAGGTCCCCTCTCACTCCCCCTCTTCGGGGACAACCTCCTTTGTGCCCCCTGGGCTGGGAGGACTGGGGTGAGGCAGGGGCAGGGGGAGCTGTCCCATCTCAGGGCTCCCTGAGGCCCTGCCAGGGGGATGCCTCTCATCGTCAGGCGAGCGGAGGTGGCACCTGGGCTGGTCCTGGAGTTTGGGGCAGGATCCCCGCAGGAGGACTGTGGGTGGCACAGAGTGGGGAAGGCCAGGGCCCAAGTGGAGTGGTTTGGTTTGGGGTGAGCAGGGGATTGCACCCTCATTTCTTGGGTGACATTGGGGTTCCATCTCAACACCCCTTGGAGGAGTGGACAGGAGGGGGGCAGCCCGGGCATCAGCCTGATGTCCTCGCTGAAGGGAGAGGGAGCCCAGGCCAGCTCACAGCCCTGTGACAGCCCAGCAGGCAGGGCCTGGTTCTGGGCACGGCCTCCCCAAGCCTCACTGGGGACTGACGCCTGTGGGTGAGAGGGGAGGTGCAGGGCAGATAAGGGTATCTGGTGGCCGCTGCTGGCCGGGGGAGGGGGGGTTGGAGGGGAGGGAGGGGAGAGGGAGGGCAGGCCCAGCTTGGGCTTATCAGCCGGCTGAGCCCTCCAGCCCCTGGGAGGCAGCAAGCACAGGGGCCCCGCCCCGTTTCCATGACCGCCTGGTGATGAGCGTGGAGTCTGGGGACAAGGCGGCCAGGCCCAGTCAGGGTCCCTGGTGGACAGAGCTCCATTCTCGGCCCCTGGCAGGCGGTCTCACTGGCTCCTCTGCCCACAACAGGCCCCTCTTCTCTGCAGTGAAGTGCTGGTTCGTTAGCCGAGTTCGCTCATTCCTCCAGACTTTCACAGGAAAACCTGACAGTGGCCAACTCGGTCCCCCCGGGCCCGTCCAGGGGCCTAGTGAACCCGGCCAGGCGGCCGGAATCTGTACCCTGACACCTGTTGGTATCATGACCGCCTGCCCGGAGCCTGAAGGGACAGCACAGGACACTGCGTGCTGTCTGGTGGCTGGGGGGATGCCAGGAGGACAGGCCAGCAAGGCCCTGGTGACTGACCCTGTGCCGACCTCGCTGTGCCTCTGAAGCCTCGCTCACCCGAGGTTACTCTTTCCCCCAATTTCCATCCCGCCCCCCACTTCTTCAACTTTCAAATACTGTATTGAGAGCAGTTTCCAAAGTCACCCCACATCCTGCTCAGAACAAGGTGTGTCCTGGACGTCGGGATGGAGGCTGTGCAGCCTCGGGACCCGATTCAGAAGCAGTGACCGGACGGAGCCCGCCCCGCAGTGGTTGGTTTTGGCTACATGTTAAAACGGAGGCGCAATCGACGGGTAATAAATGCACAGACTTGGAGTGTACAGTCTGAGGGATGACAAATGTCTACACACATGTACCCACCCCCCGGTCAGGACAGAGGGGAAGACAGATTTCTACCTTGGCTGAGTTTAAGGAATTTAGCTTATAGAATCACGCTCACAGCGGACCGGACTCTGCAGAGAAGCTGGGGCAGGGAGGGCGGGGCCCCGCCTGGAGACACCCACTGCCCAGCCCAGCCCCCAATCAAGAGGCCAACCCACACCCACCCCCCAGACACACTGCTAGCGTTCGGTGTCTTTGCTTCCTGTTTTTTCCATGTGCGTATATACATGTACTTGTCCTATGCATGTTTTTACACACATGACACCATGTCACACACTTAGTATTTTTAAACGCACGTAGCATAAGCTGCTATATTGTACACCTTGGGAACATGAGTTTTACGAAGTCTTTGGTGGTTATTTCTGAGAGCAGACTCAGCTAGCGCTGACACCACAGAGAGAATGCTAGCGAGGACTGCGCTTTAAAATGCAAGTTTTATTACTTTTGGAATAAAAATCTACACAGCTAGGAATTCAACACCTGCAAACAGGTTTGCGCAGCAGCCTGTGTGGTGGGCTCGTTCCTCTCGGGCCTCGGGTGCCCTGGAGCCGAGGCTCTCAACCCGCCAGTGAGCGCACAGCCTCCTCCCCACGAGTGGCCTCTGAGGGCACAGCAGCTGCCGCCGCCAGGAGCCAGGCTGCCCAGTGGACGGGTGCCCGCGCCCGCTTGCCCGAGAGCCTGTGCCGTGGGCTCCACAGTCCGCCGCGGGCTGTGCTGCACATCAGGCCGTCAGGCCGTTTGCTGGCCCAGGACTCGGACGTAGGGCAGTGTCCGGGGTGGAGTCCTGGGCGCGAACGTTTCGAGGCCGCTGCTGGGCTGCCAGGGGCTCCCCCACCCTCGGCCCTGCCCCTCCTTTGTCCATCGGGTCTGAGGCGTCCCTCCTCCTGGTGGAGCCAGTGCGAGGGTGTTGCGCAACACCGCGCCCCGGTGCCATTTCCCTTCAGTGCACGTGGCTTTCCACCTGCAGCATTTCCCCTGAAGAAATCAAATCCATTTCCTCTGCGCTTTCCCCACCACTGAGGTCAGAAAGCCCTGGCCACCCAGAAACCAGACACCATTTAATCCACCTCACATTTATTTTGTGCAAACAGCTGAGCAGTGGTCCACGGGCTGTGAAGTCTCGCTCGGCCCCCTCAGCCCGATGCCACCTGCATGGTACACCTCTGGGGGCCTGGCTGGGCTGCGGGGTGTCCCTGGTCCCACCCCATCCTCACTCCTCTTCCCAGGACAGTGAGGGTGCTGAGTAGGCAGCCTGGGGCGCCAGAGCTGGGCTCCCTGTCACCAGGGTGAGTTCCGTGACTGAGTCTCACCTGCGGGCCCTTGGGGGGCGGAGGCCAGAGGCCGGCAGGGGCGTTGGTGGTGAACAGGCATTATTTTGGGAGCTCCTCCTGCCCCTCCCACAGAGAAACCGCGAGGGGGTCCTGACCAGCTGAGCAAGGTCATGAGTCCCTGTGGGGAGCCGAGGCCGCAGTGCCCCTCCCCCGCCGGGAATCCGCAGCCCTCCTGCTTCCAGTCCTCAGTCCTCCACGTCTGCTGACTGGGATGTGACACTCCGTCAGCATCTGGGCCCAGGTGCCCTGCCGTCCGGCACGTGGTCTTTCTCCGTGTGCTGGTCCCATAGGGCACTTCTCACCCTTGTTTCCTGGACGGAGGTTTAGTCCCGGCCTCAGTGCCTCCGTGAGCAGGCGGCCTGCACCCCACCTCCCGGGACCAGGGGCACAAGCCCCTGTGGAGTGACCCCTCCCGCAGGCCCGCCACCCTCGGCAGGCGGTGTGCATGTCACGTGGGTCAGGGCAGGCGATCACGTCCACTGCACTCCGCGGGCAGTGGGGCTGGTGGGCAGGGACCCCCAGCCCCGGCGGGAACGTGACCTCCACGAGTGCCCAGAGGACACCCGGTCACGGCTCAGACACAGGCTTGACCCGGCGTGGAAAACGTCTAGTTTGTTGCACTGTCTCAAGCACAACCGAAAGTCAGAACCAAGGAGAAACTGTGCCCAGCACTGGAGCTCCGTGGTCAGCGCATTGAGGAGACGGGGTGACGCATGGAAGCCTGCGGGCCTGGGAGAGCCTGCCGTCCGAGGAGCAGTGAGGCCCGACCTCGCTGCAGCCTCTGGGCGGCCTCTGCTGTCACCAAACCCTAAGGAAGGACCTACGACAACGAGGTGTGCAGCAGCATTGCGCCAGCTGCCTGTCCTCACCGGGACCTGCAGGACCCTCTCCACCGCTGCCTGGTGCCCTTGGAGGACGTATCTTCCCGCTCGCCACCCAGGTCCCGGGGGCTTGACATGCTTGCTTAGTAGGAAACAAGGCCTCGAGTGCCTGGGCCCCGGGCGAAAGGCAGCTAAAACCAGCAGCGGCCAGAATGGGCAGCTGTGTCCAGGGGAGGGGGGCTCAGGGTGGACGCAGGCTGGGCCCCAAGTCCTACAGCTCAGGTGCCAGCGAGGTGACTGGGCGCTGCAGGCTGACCCATGGACTGACGTCTGACGGGGCCGCAGCAGCCGACCACAGCAAGTACTAACCTAGGGGATCAGCCCAAACGCCGTGACAGGCCGGCTGCACTGGGAGCCGGCGGCAGGCCCAAGGGCTCCCCGCACAAGGACGCACAGGTGACGCCCACTGTCGGACGTGGCAGCTGAGGCTGCAGGCTCGGGACAAACCACGGAAGGAGCGAGGCCTTCCGCGGGCTTCAGGGAATAGGTTTCTCTCCTAAATCTGACATTTCATTCCTAACGAGGTATCTTATGCAGGTTTGTACAACAAACAAAAAGGCGACAATTGTAGATTGCTCCTGAGGGTGCCCCAGTCTTGTGCCCCGCAGCACGAGCTGCACAGACTCCTGCTAGCGAGAGGGCGCTGCGCCCCCTTCCCCTACCCCCCCGCCACCTTCCTGCACCGACCCGCCTGGGTGCGTGCACGGCCAGGTCATCGCCTGCTGGCCTGTAGTGTTGTGGCTGGAGTGTCTCCAGGCGGTGAGCGCATTCTGGCCTGGGCGGCTGCGGCGTGGCCTCCATCCTGGCACGGCCAGCGCCGACCCCTCCAACTCGGCCTTGGGTTCCCGTCTGGGCGCCTGGCGTGGGATGTGTGTGGGAACCTGCGTCCCTGGGAGGAGGTGCACCACGTGGGAGCATGTTCAGTGGTGGGAGCACTGACCTTCGGCCTAGACGTGGCTGCTGTGGCAGCCCCACGGTGTGGTCAGCGACGAGGCCCTGACCGCAGCACATGGGAAACTGGTGCGTGCACCTGGCCGCAGCCACTGCCTCACGTGGACGCCCGCGCAGGCTCCGGTTACTCGGCTGAGGCTGTGGTTCTGGAACGAGACGGAAACAAACATGGTGAAAGCAAGTGTGGGGCGTCCAACGTGCCCACATGTCCAGACGCGTGGATGCGGCGTGTCCGAGAGCGCGGCTCAGAACCGATGGCGCACGGCACATCCGGCCGCCCTGAGCGCCGCCCGAGCTCCTTCAGATGACCTCCCACTCGTCCTCCAGGTCCTCAGGGTGTGAGGTGGCGGCCGGGCTGCTCTGGGCACCGTGCGCGTGGCTGAAGGTCCTTGTGAGCCGCTGGAGGAGGTAGCCGGGCGGGCCCACTGCCCACAGCTCATCTGACGAGGTCACTGCAGGGACAAGAGCGGCCACACAGTGAGCAGCCGGAGCTCCTCCCGACGGGGCCCTTTCTGGCTGTGGGGCCAGGCGCCCCTGACCTGTGCCTCCGTTTCCTCAGGTTGCCCTGTCCCCTCCTGGAGGCCCTGGCAGAGCCGGGTACAGCTCCCCTCCCTCAGGGTCACCCAGGGCTGGCTTTGGGGAGAGGGAGTCCGGGGGAGCCGCCTGGACAGCCGCTGACACGGTCCAGAGCCTGGATTCGGGGAGGCCCGCGCAGCCCACACCCGGACCTGCCTGTGAGGCACGTGGCGTGCCCGGGCACTTTCTTCCAGTAGTCCCCCGCGGGGTGCTTGTCAGTGACGCCGTAGCGCCGGGCGAGGTCCCCGTTGGGGCAGCGGGCCCACACGGTCCTGGTGCTGAGCGCCAGCTGGCAGGCCTGCAGCCCTGCGGGCAAAAAGGGCGTCCGTCTGTCCTCAGACCCCGGCTGTGGGCCCAACCCTCCCAAGAGCCTGCTCTCTCCCGACACTGCGCCCGTCCCTATGTGACAGCGCCCTGGGCTGGGCTGCGCAGGGAGCTGAGGGAGAGGGTGCCCATTAGCAGAGCCGCCAAGAGCCCGAGACGGAAGGACAGAGGGTCCGGCGGTGCCGCTGAGCCCCGCTGGCCCTGTGCACGGTGTCGGGGGTCAGGCTGCAGTGGCATCTCTGGGTGGCTGAGGGGCAAGCAGCAGCCAGGCCACGGAGAGCCAGGGTGCGGGCTGGGCCCTCATGCCAGCAGCCCTCAGGCAGAGGAGCCGGGTGTGAAACCTTGGCTGTCTGGCTAGGCTGACGGCTGGGGCCTGCCTGGGGGGACAGCGCCCGCTGCCCACACCCACCTGGCACGTGATCCCAGTCGGTCCCCACGGGCATCTCCTCGGTGATCCCGACGCGGACGTGCACGTTGCACCGGCTGTCGAGCGCCCACAGCATCTGGTCGTTGGGGCTGCAGTGGACGCTGACCAAGGTGACCCCGGCAGGCTGCACGCGGGAGGGAAGGACAGAGCAAGGCCGAGAGGTGTGAACCGAGGTCAGTGACGCGGCAACGGGAGATTCTAGAAACTTTCGCTGATTCCTGCTTGCTAGCCTGCCAGCCACTCAGCCACACGTCACCACCCACACATCCACTCATGCTTCCACCACCTACCCAACAGGTGTACTTGAGCATCTACCACATGCCAGGCACTGTGCCAGGAGCTGGTAATCAATTTTCTTGTCTCCTGGATTTTGTGAAAAATTTTTTTAATTATTTCAGAGAGAGAGGGAGAGGGAGAGAGTGATAGAAACATCCATGATGAGAGACAATCATTGATCGGCTGCCTCTTTTAAACTGTTACTGGGGATCAACCCCGCAACCCGGGCATGTGCCACTGAGCCACACCGGCTGGGTGTCTCCTGGATGTCAAGTCCTGTGAGAGACAGCCATTACTCAAATAGTCACACAGAGAAACAGGAGGCCGCCCCAGGCAAAAGCTGCCCAGGTGAACGAGGCGCCCAGACCACATAACTGGGTCAGACCCAGAGGTCAGGGAAGCCGGCCTAGATCCAACCCGACACCAAGATGGCAGGACGAACAGGAACGACCCAGAGGGGAGGGCAGGGGAGAGTGTGCCAGGCGGCGGAAGTGTCTGCAAAGCAGGGAGCATGGGGGCACGAGGGACCGAAAGCCCTGTGAACCACTGGAGGAGGTAGCGGGGGCCCACTGCCCACCGCTCAGGCGGCTGGAGTGGGCAGGGCTGGGCCGGGCAGCACTGTGCAAGGGGCATCTCCTCCATAAGCAGTGGAGGCCTGCTGGGTACCGGGGCCCGGGACGCTGGGGCTGACGGTTCAGAGAGAGCTCTGGAGACATGCCTGAGAGCAGACGCAGGAAACAAGATGCAACGTGCAAAACTGAGGACGCAGGGAGGTTAGGTGGGCGCACCCCTGCATCGGGGAGGTCAAGTGGGCACACCACATGCATCAGGGAGGTCAGGTGGGCACACCACATGCATCAGGGAGGTCAGGTGGGTACACCACATGCATCAGGGAGGTCAGGTGGGCACACCCCTGCATCAGGGAGGTCAGGTGGGTACACCACATGCATCAGGGAGGTCAGGTGGGCGCACCCCTGCATCAGGGAGGTCAGGGGGCACACCACATGCATCAGGGAGGTCAGGTGGGTACACCACATGCATCAGGGAGGTCAGGTGGGTACACCACATGCATCAGGGAGGTCAGGGGGCACACCACATGCATCGGGGAGGTCAGAGGGCACACCGCCTGGCATCGGGGAGGTCAGAGGGCACACCACCTGCATCGGGGAGGTCAGAGGGCACACCACCTGCATCGGGGAGGTCAGAGGGCACACCGCCTGGCATCGGGGAGGTCAGAGGGCACACCACATGCATCAGGGAGGTCAGAGGGCACACCACCTGCATCGGGGAGGTCAGAGGGCACACCACCTGCATCGGGGAGGTCAGGTGGGTACACCACATGCATCGGGGAGGTCAGAGGGCGCACCGCCTGCATCGGGGAGGTTAGGTGGGTACACCACATGCATCTGGGAGGTCAGGGGGCACACCACCTGCATCGGGGAGGTCAGAGGGCACACCGCCTGGCATCGGGGAGGTCAGAGGGCACACCACCTGCATCGGGGAGGTCAGGTGGGTACACCACATGCATCAGGGAGGTCAGGGGGCACACCACCTGCATCGGGGAGGTTAGGTGGGTACACCACCTGCATCGGGGAGGTCAGAGGGCGCACCGCCTGGCATCGGGGAGGTCAGGGGGCGCACCGCCTGGCATCGGGGAGGTCAGAGGGCACACCACCTGCATCGGGGAGGTTAGGTGGGTACACCACATGCATCGGGGAGGTCAGAGGGCACACCACCTGCATCGGGGAGGTTAGGTGGGTACACCACATGCATCGGGGAGGTCAGAGGGCGCACCGCCTGGCACTTGGGAGAATGGGGTTAAGTGGAGGCAACAAGGAAAAGACTGCGGGTGATACGGCAGCAAAGGATCTCACAGACGTCACCCACTGTCTGCCACCCACCTGAGAGCTCCTGAACACGGCCCAAGACATGCTGCTTCACAAATGTCACCTGGGAAAGTCCCAGGGACCTCACTCCAGTGGCCAAGCAGGGCCAACCGGGTGAATAGTTGCAGTCTGTGCAGGCTGCTCTGTACACACACCGGCCATTTTCAAACTAGGAAACGCTCTCTTGTTGAACCCAAGTCCCTCCAGAGTAAGAACGGCTAGTGGTTCTCAAACCTTGGAGTCCCTGGACAAGTGTGGGGGCTGTTAAAACGGCACATTCGGGCCCTAGCCGGCCTGGCTCAGTGGTTAGTTTCAGCCCACAGTTTGAAGGGTCCAGGGTTGGATTCCGGTTAAAGGCATGAATCTTGGTTGCAGGCTCGATCCCCAGCCCCAGGTCGGAGCTGCAGGAGGCAGCCAATCAATGTCTTTCTCTCACATGATGTTTTTCTCTCTCTGTTTCTCCCCCTCCCTTCCACTCTCTCTAAAATCAATGAAATAATATCCTCGGGGGAAGATTAACAAACAAACAAAGAGGCACACTGGGGCTGGGGCCAACCCTTATGCATCAGACTTTGGGGCTGGGGCCCCGAAACAACCTTGTAGACAAGCACCCGGGTGCTTCTGATTCAGGGGCCACTAGGCTCTCCACTCTGTCAAGCACAGGCAAGGCGAGACCACACACACGCACATGCACACACACAGACACGCATGCGCACACACACACACGCAGACACACAGCCCAGCTGGTATTGAGGCAGAAATGGAAAAGCTCATCCTAGAATTCATGTGGGGCTGCAAGGGACCCCGAAGGTCAGAACAGTCTTGAAAAAGAACAAATTTGGAAGATTCGCACTTCCTGCTTTCAAGACTACTCGGACGCTACGGTGGTCACACAGCGAGGCCTGTCCCGAGATAGGCCAGTCCACGGAGCAGTCGAGTGGTGCTGCCAAGGGCGCCAAGACTGCGAGTGAGAAAGAGCATCTTCCCAGCAAATGGAGCCGGGACAGTCCTTGCCTCACGCCCCCTTCAGAGCAACTCGAACGGGTCAGAATAAGTGTGGGAGCTAGACCTGCCAATGGTCCTTACATGACACCAAAGGCAGCAGCGACACAAAGGTAAACTGGACTTCATCAAAATTCACAACTTCCGCACCTCAAAGGGCACCATAAGGAAAGCGAAGAGACGCCCACAAAAGGGGAGAAAACATTTCCAGATCACGTACAGAATAGGGTCTAGGGCAGGGGTGGGCAACCCCTGGCACGCGTGCCATATTTGGCATGCCAGTAACTTTTGCTGGCACTCGAAACCCTCTCTTATAATCTTCCATTTACATTTTTTTTCTTAATATCGACATTTTTATTTTTCAGATAAATTCAGTGTAGGTGCATCTTAGATAAATAATTTTACATAACAAGTTATCTTAAAGACCATAGACATGGATTGACAAGAGAGGGGAAGAGCAATTTCTATGCTTCTGCCTTCCTAGATCCGACCAGTGTTTTGGTTTCATCCACATACACTTGTGAATCTTTGTTCTCAGTGATGAATTTTGTTAAGTCTCGTAATAGGGAGTAGCCTGACGGATGAAAGTAGTAGCTCGTGCATATCTCTGAAGGTCACGAAATATAAACCTGATGTAAAATCTCTGTCATCAGTGAGGCAGCAGCAAAAGTCCCACTGATAATATCAAATGGAGTCATAAAGTTTCCTGTCGGACTATCAGCGTACATGTGTACATTAAAAAATAAATGTATTTTTCATCATCATATACTGTGTTTTTGTCGCTCAAATGAATTTTATTATTTCTTCAAGGTCCTTCACATACGTACATCTTAAGAGATATCAAGTAGGCGTAACATGTTCTCAAAAAATTAGGGTTGGCATGCAGAAGAATTTTGAGTCAGAGATTTTGCTGCTTTTGGCACGCACTCACAAAAAGGTTGCCCACCCCTGCTCTAGGACCCCAAATACAGAACTTTTAAAATCCAACAACAACAAGAAAAACAACCACATTTTTTAAAGGACAAAGGACTTGAAGAACCACTACTCCAGCCCTGGCCGGTGTGGCTCGGTTGGTTGAGCATCATCCCAGGCACCAGGTGAGGGTTCAAGCCCTGGTAGGGGGAGTGCAGGAGGCAGCCGGCCCATGTTTCGCTCCCTGTCTCTCCCCCGTCCCCTTCCTCTCTCTCTAAAAATCAACTAAAACATACATCTTAAAAAAGACATTTCTCCAAAGATATGCAAAGGCCAACAAGCACATGCAAAGGTGCCCGACATCAGTCACTAGCCCGTAGGAGTGCAAGTCAAAGCACAACGCAGCCCTTCCTCACCCCCATAGGGTGTCTGGAGAAAGAAAACGGAAAATAACAAGCAGGGAGCATTGGAGAACAGGGACCCTCCCCCCTCCCACGGGGTGTGAAATGGAGACAGGCTGCAGGCCCAGGGGTTGAACAGCCCCACCCAGCAATCCCACGCGGGGACATTTACCCAGAGCACTGGAGCGGACCTCGGACCACAGGCAGGAACGGCCACAGCAGTGGAATTCTTCACAACAGCCCACGTGCCGCACCGGAGGCCCGGACACCGAAGGTGGCGCCTGGGCGTGCGGCACACCTCAGAGGCCGCGCCCACCCGGCCCGCCCCCAAGCGACATGGCAACAGAGGGAGTCCCGTGAATTGTTTGGCTCCCCAGTGGGTTTAAAAGGATGGTTCTATTCACTGTAGTCTATTAAGTGTGCAATAGCATTACTTAAACAAACAACCATTTTCGTTACAGGTTATCATTATACATTGAGCAAGAAACACGTTATTGCTAAACAATGCTGAGCACCGCCTGAGCCTCCGGGAGCGGAGCGTATTGTGGGGGGGGGGGGGGGGGGAGGTCTCACTCGCTGGACGGACACGCAGGCCTGCGAAGCGCAGCAGACCGAGCTCTGCCTGCAGTGGGATCTCGCTCAGGACC